AAATAATAAAGGAAGAAAGAAGGTCTAGTCAATGTACAGATATGGAACTAGGAAAGTGGGCTCACTGAAGCTGCAGGTCATTGGGATGGCTGAAGCACAGGCGGCTGTGAGGAGGTGGAGGGGAGGAAGGCTCTTAGCATCTACTCTCTTCATTCCTACTTTTTATTCACGTCTAACTCCCTATCAGATTGTAGGTTCCTGGTTCTTAGTATGCCCAGCACCCTACACATAATATTTGATATGAAGTGTTAAAATATTAACTAGTTTCGTGCAACCCTATGATGTGGGAATATTAATCCCACTTTACACATGAGAGAGCTGAGCCACAGAGGTTAAATAATTTGTCCAGGCCAGGCGCGGTGGCTCACGCCTGTAATCCTAGCACTCTGGGAGGCCAAGGTGGGAGGATCGTTTGAGCTCAGGAGTCTGAACAAGAGCGAGACACAGTCTCTACTGAAAGAAAAATAGAAAGAAATTAGCTGGAAAACTAAAAATATATAGAAAAAATTAGCTGGGCATGGTGGCGCGTGCCTGTAGTTCCAGCTATCCGGGAGGCTGAGGCAGGAGGATCGCTTGAGCCCAGGAGTTTGAGGTTGCTGTGAGCTAGGCTGACACCATGGTACTCTAGCCCGGGCAACAGAGTGAGACTCTGTCTCAAAAAAAAAAAAAAGTAATTTGTCAAAAGTTTCTAAGTAAGTGGTAGAGCCAGGATGTTGCCTTCATAAATACAGGCTCTTTAGTGGTTTTCAAACTTTTCTGTGAAACCTCAGGAGGAGGCCAAATTGGAGTGCCCCTGATGCTGCTGTTCAGCTAGAGAATAACTCCACTTTTATCTGTTTTCTATACTGGCATTTCTTACAAAATTCTGTTTCAGGGAAAGTATCCATGGCTTTAGAAAAAGCCTTTTTGAAAACCACTGGCTAAAGAAAACCACTTAGAATCTGGTCCCAGTCTCCCACTCTAGCCTCAGCTATCTACATCTCGTGTTCCTTATGATTCAGCCATATTGCGCTCGCTTCCCAAAACAACATCTTTTTGTGTTTTCATGCTTTTGTAGGTGCTATTCCCTCTCCCTGGAATCCCTCTCCCTTACTTGCCCAGTGGATTCATTCTTCAAGGCTCAGTTCCAGCATCTTGTAGTGGTTGAGAAGACACTCCAGCTAGATTGCTCAGGGTTATATCCTTGCTCCTTCACTCCCAAGCTCTATAACCCTGGACAAATAACTTTTCTTTCTCACCTGTTTTCTCATTTTTCAAACACCTCATACCTCTACCGCATAGAGATGTAAGGATTCAGTGAATTTTGTGTAAAAAACTTCAAGTACATACTATTGTTAATCCTCAATGAAATTTTCCCTTGTTTCCTGTTTCATTGGTACAGTGCCTTATTCCTACAACTACCAACAGTGCTTATCACATTGAAGCATAGTAATTATTTCATTGATTCTAAGACTTTCTCACAGTTTAACATCTCAGATCAGGATGCATCTTAAAATCAACAGTGCTTAGATTTTTTGAAATCTGTTCATTTTGGCCAGGCACAGTGGCTCATGCCTGTAATCCTAGCACTTTGGGAGACCAAGGTGGAAGGATCACTTGAGGCCAGGAGTTTGAGACCAGCCTGAATAAGGCAAGACCCCCTCTCTACAAAAAAAAAAAAAAAAGAAAGAAGAAAAATTAGGCGGGTGTGATGGCATGCGACTGTAGTCCCAGCTACTCGGGGACCCTGAGGCAGGAGAATGGCTTGAGCCCAGGAGTTTCCAAGGTTGCAGGGAGCTATGATGAGGCCACTGTACTCCAGGCTAGGTGACAAGAGTGAGACTCTGTCTAAAAACAAAAAGTTCATTTTATCTGGTATCCTTGGACTGCAGCCTGTTTG